GTCTCTCGTCTTACGAAAGCCTCGCAACCCCAAACCTTGACATGTGCCAACGAGGGAACTTTCCCTGTCCACATCTCGTGAGGTATTTTGGCAACCTTCTTTGTAGGGACTAAGTTAAGGATATGGGCGGCAGTCTCTAAGGCATACCCCAGAATGAGATAGGTAGTGAAGCACGACTCATCATGGAACGAACCATGTCGAGCAAGGTTCGATTACGCCTCTCAGCCACACCATTCAACTGTGGTGTCCTAGGCGGCATCAATTGCGAAACTATTCTGCATTCCTTGAGGTAGTCGTGGAATTCAAGACTAAGGTACTTTCCACCTCGATCGGATCGAAGCATTTTGATTTTCCTACCCAACTGATTCTCCACTTCTTGCTTAAAATCTTTAAACTTTTCAAAGGTTTCCGACTTGTGCTTGATTAAGTAGATATACCCATATCTGCTATAATCATCAGTGAAAGTCACATAGAAGCGGCTCGCATCCCTTGTGGTGGATCTAAAGGGCCCACACATATCGGTGTGTATGAGATCCAATAAACCCTCACCCCTTTCACAAGTACCAGTGAAGGGTGACTTGGTCATCTTTCCAAGTAAACAAGACTCGCACACGTCATCGTCCCTAAGGTCGAATGACTCCAACACTCCATCCTTTTGGAGTTGGGCTATGCGTTTCTTGTTGACATGTCCAAGACGACAATGCCACAAGCATGCTTTGTCCAAACTATTGGAAGAATCGATACACAACACATCATTTCCTAAATTGTCTATAACCATCACAATTTCATATATTCCATTACAAGGCAATGCTTCAAAATAGAAAACACCATTAAGATAAGCATTAATAGAACCCTTTTCATTATCAAATGAATATCTAAATCCATGTTTATATAAACCATGAAAAGAAATGATGTTTCTTGCTATTTCTGGCGAATAGCAACAGTTATTCAAATCTAGTCCTAATCCATTACTAAGCATTAAAGAGTAAACTCCAATCTTAGTGACAGGCGACGATCTTCTGTTCCTCATAATCAAGTTTATCTTCCCATGCTCCACATCCCTATTTCTTCTTAGGCCCTGTAAATCAGAACAAATGTGAAAACCACATCCTGTATCAAGTACCCAAGAAATAGCATGTGATGAATCATTAGATTGAATAGTGTAAATACCTGGGAAGGACGGCTTGATCTTCCCATCCTTGATATCTTGCAAGTACTTCGGGCAGCTTCGTTTCCAATTCCCTATGCCGTGGCAGTGATAGCACCCTGCATCCTTTGGGCTTGAGGTGGGTGCAGCGGGACCAGCCTTGGTTCCACTGGAAGAGGTGTCATCTCGGGACTTTCCCTTATGGTGGCTCTTAGAAGGAGCCTTCCTCTTCTTACCCTTCCCCTGCCTAATAGCCAAGACGGGGGCAGCAGTAGGAGTTGATGCAACAGATTTATCCATGAGGTTGATCTCAGTAGTCCTCAACAACCCTTGAAGCTTGCTCAACGTGACCTCCTCTTTGTTCATGTGGTAGGTCATGCGGAACTGGTTGTAGCACAGAGGTAAGGAGTGAAGAATTATGTCAATTGCCAGATCCTCATTGAAGTCCACATTTAACTTCTGCAGGCGATCAACATATCTTTACATCTTCTGGATATGAGCAGCGACAGACTCTCCGTCTCTCATCTTGGTCGTGATCATCGAAGTGATGATCTCGTACCTCTCCTGCCTCGCGCTTTGATGGTACCTATCCATCAAATCTTGATGCATCTTGTAGGTGTAGAAGTCCTCGTAGGACTTTTGGAGTTCTGCGGTCATGGTAGCGTGATGCAATGGACTTTCGTAGTATCACACTCGTGGGTTTCATAAGCAGCAATCTCCTCGGGAGTAGCAGTTTCGAGGTTTATCTCCTTCAACTCCTTGTCGAGGACATATTCCTTGTCCTCGTAGCGGGTAACCATCCTTATGTTGCGGATCCAATCATTAAAATTGTTTCCGTCGAAGATTACCCTCCCACACAAATTCATGAGTGAGAATGAGCCTGAAGAGTTCGAGCCTTGAGCGTTGTTTGAGTTCGACATCTGAAAAGAAAAAGAGACAAAGTTTGATTAGATAGGAATCCCCAATTAAACACCCAAATGAGAAATTAGGGCTAGGATCCAACAACATTATTTACAACTTAAAAAAGGGATGTCGTAATTTAAATTGCAAATAATTTGAAGGTAAGTGAATGACAATTCACTAATTTCCACCATGAAAAACAAAAACAATTAAGTTTTAAATGTATTGAAACTCCTAGATCTTTTGAGATTCATTGAAATTTTCAATGGCATGTTTAAATCTCGATATGCCCCTCAAGTTTGTGACTGGGATACCGATGATCACACACAGTGTATGAATAATCATGCGAATGTACTTGGTACCCTCGATGTTACAGTCACCTAATCAATGTGCCGGTTAGCCACACAAGCTCTATTGATCTATGACAAACAACGAGTCACCCTTTGCCACCTTTGCTTAGAGCCAAATTAGTGTTCCGGTTAACCACACACGCTCCACTAACGTCTTGGCAAGGGTAGAAAGTGTAATTCCATGGAATAGCATCAAATTCACATTTTTCCTAAAAGTAACTAAGATTGGGAATTTTGTAAAAACATTTAGTTACTTTATTAATAATTATACTTTTAATGAGGAATTAGGTTGCCCTATCCTACCCGTTCTGCTAACGACCCTCCACCAATCAAGGAAGCGGTGGGTGAGAGTGGACACCCATTAAACGACCATTTTATAGGCCATAACCTTATACCCCCCTTATAGATCGGCTTCGTGAATGAGGCCTACTAACGGTAATACTAGCATTTATCTTATACATATATAATAATTATTTTTATAATATTATAATAGTATAGGGGTGAATTTTAAGCTTGTAAAATTCTAGGGTTTTGGAATTTAATTATTTCAAAATTAAACTTTTAATCAAAATTTTAAATTCCAAAACTTGAGGGCAAGTTTTTGAAACATTTCAAAACTATCTAGATCAAAATTCAAATAAACAATTAAACAATTAATTTTGGTGATTATCTAATTTTGACCTAATCCAATTGCATGCATGATAATTGATCAAATAATTCAAATAATTAACATTTATCAAATAAGGTAATAATTATTTAATTAAATGACCTAAATCTTTTATTTTGACAAAGATAATCATCTAGAATCAATAAAATTCGGATTTTATCAATTAGAAACACTTATGACAATTATCCCAAGTCAAAATAAGCAAAATCCCGAAATTCCCTCTGTCTGACTGCCCGACTAGCCGAGTCCCCATATGGACTCGTCGAGTTCATCTGACTCGGCGAGTCCTCTTTGGGACTCGGCGAGTCTGTCAGACAGAAAGCCAAAAAATCGAATTCAAGAAATGAACAATCATACAATGCATCAAATACAATAGAAACCAAACAAGGCTTTGATACCACTGATGGGTTTAGAGCAAAAGAACAATCCTATGTGCTCATGCAAAACCCTAAAGCTTGGATCTAGGTTTCTCTATTGTACATGCAATTCATCTAAGACTTGAATAGCCTAATCTAGCATACTACAAAACTTGAGATCTATATAATTAACCAAGTAAGAATATTACCTCTTGATTGTAATATGAAACTTGAATCTTCAAAGCCCACGAGAACCAAGCACCTCAAATGTGATGCCTCTAATGGCTTACAAACACCAAGCAAGAGGATGATGTTTAGGAGAGAGGATGAGAGGCTAGAAATCAGCTCCAAGCTTCCAAGGGATCAAGTGGCCGAATTCTGATGCCTTAGGGGTCCTTTTATACTTGAGTTGCTAGTGTTTCAGCCAAAACCCTAATTGGATAGCTTAGGCCTTAAGCAGACCACAAAACCTTCCAGAATAAGCCCCCTTGGACGAATTCAAGATGGAATCCACCTTAATTTCGTCCAAGCCTTAATCCATAAGGATTCTCAGCCCAAAATCAATTATCTTATAATTACAGTTCTACTCCCCTTTATTTAATCAATCTCTTTTAGTCACAATAATTAATTATCTAACTAATATTAATTAAACAAATATGATTTCTCTTTTAATATATTATTCTTATAATATATTAATAAACCACAATATCCTCTTTCTTTATAAATCATCTTGTCCGGTTGCTTTAGTGAAGGAAACCCAAAAGGACCAAGCTCAATCGGGTCAAGTACATACCAAATATAGTTATGGACTCAGACACTAATCCAACATAAAATCCCTTATGGTGTAATTCGCACTACTAGAAAACAACCCTTTAATGATGCGCAAACAATGACACACACTGATAGAGGACACATATTTGTGCGTGTCCTAAAAATTAATGCCAGTTTTCCAAAATTTTAAGGATAGAGGACGCGCATTTATGCGTGCCCTAAAATTAGTGTCAGAAAAGAAAAAAAAGAAATGAGGAGGGCGCCTTTCATAAAATGTGCGTCATGTAAATGTGTCGCTTTATAATTTTTTAATGAAACACGCGTTTTAGGCAGGAAATGTAATCGACGAAAATTACCCCCGCCTATTGGATCCCAAAAAATTAAACCCCCTGCCTCTTCGACTTAGCAAGAAAAAGCCCTAGGGCCTTCATCTTCATCTTCAGCAATGGGAATAGGTCGATTCTTCAGGGTGCAACAATAGATTTGTAAACATCAAACATATACGATTCTGGATCTCGGCCATGATTATGGCGCTTTGGAGCCGGCGACGTGAACATCATTCGTGAACATCTGTCATTTCCTTCTTTCAACATTTCCATATTTTAGTCTTCACAAATCGACAAGGGGCCTCTGCAATTAAGTTGTTTCATCTTCATCTCGCTTTGGTGAAGAGAGCGATAGATACAGAAGCGATTGAGAGAAGTAGAAAAAAGGGAAATTTTACGTTCGAAAAAAGTCGACTTGCAAACCCTATCGATCGAAAAAGGGGCAAAAAGGATAGAATAGAAAAAACCCTAACAATTCACCAGATGCGCTGTTTTTTCCCAACTTTTTGTCGCTTTTCGATGAAGTCGTTGAAGCCCTATCTACTTCAGGCTTTGAATTCTGCAATCGCATTCGGGCATCCACTATACCGTTTTTATGCAACTACCAGGTTGTCGCAGTGGATACCGCCACAAGTTTGGGAAAAACCCTAGAATTTGTTGTTCCACTCGTCTAGATACTCCATCATACAACGTCTGTTAAACCTCACCAGGTACTTCCTTTTCCATAAGACATACATACTCAGTTATAACTCTAAGCTTTGGTGGTCATATGGATTTTTGGTGCTTAATCGTTTTGATGTCTACAGGTCTCAGATTTTGATTATGTTCTTGTGTTTGTTCATCTAAATACAAAATTTACACTTAACATTCATGGGTTCAAGATTTTGATTTTTAGGTTTTACCATTTAGGTAATCGAGGGATAGCAAATTAACTAGTCTTCTTCGTGATTCATCTGGTGGAAGGACTAAAAACATGCATCATTGCTACATTATCTCATGTTGTTTATTCTCTTGAACACATGAATGCCCTCCTTATTCCTCTTTCAGGTTGCATGGTTGACGAGATCAGGGGAGTCTGAATTGGAAGTTCCAATTGCAATTAGACCAACAAGTGAAACTGTGATGTATCCGTATTTCTCAAAATGATCAGGGGACACCATGACTTGCCCTAGAAACTTAACCAATGGTGTAATGTTGTTCGATGGGAGTTTAGTAATCCTACTCCATTTATCAGGTAGCTTCTTTGCTTTCTTATTCATAATTCATCACATGACATGATTTTTTATCTTGATTTTCTATTTCTTGAAATGATAATAAACTGTTGTTATTCTAGGAGCCGTGAGTTTCTTTGGCAAGAAGGACACACTGCCTTTGCATCAAAGGAGGAGGCAGACACTGAGGTACAATTATAAATTTAAGGAATAAAAAATTATCTATGTTGCTCTTTATTGTATTTTTATACTGATATTGATAAAATAGTATTTCCTATTGTGATTAACCATTAATAAACTATTTTTGAAAATAATCTAGTTGTTTATATCCATAAACTGGTGAAAAATTACGTTTTGCTTTAGTATATTATAGTATTATACTATTATTATATACTAAAATTGATAAAATAGGTTAATATATAATCAATTATCGTATCAATATTAGTATACTTGTTGTTGATTGATAAAATAGGTTAGTTTAGTGGATAAATCGATAAAACAGTTTAATGATGTATTTATTTTTAGGTTGTTGAAACTCTTGAACTGTATAGGCGGCTATATGAAGAGTACTTGCCTGTCCCTGTGGTTAAATTGAAAAAAAAAATGCAAGATATAGATGTTTGATGGTGGACTTTATACCACTAGTGTTGAGGTACTTACTAATAATAGTTTTGAAAATATTAAATGACTTTTTTGCCCTGTCAAGTATTATAACTTATTACATTATTTGCATGTTAAACTCTATTGTTTGTGTTAATATTGAACTCTCCCTCTCATATTGAACATATAAAGTAAACTTCAGTTATATACTGCAATTCTGTTTTGAAAGTGAAGAGAAAGTAAGAGGACTTCTGCATAATGTGTCATCTTTATTGAAACCAGGGTTTACTTAATCGGTATTACTCTGGACTCTTCTACTATATGGTAGGCTACCATGTTTTTGGGAGTCATTTTGTCAGAATTTATTTATAGCATCATTTTCTTGCTTTCATTTTGAATAATTGGATTGCATTGCAGGGCAAAGTATCAGAAAAATGTTGAATCATACCACAACCGAAGTGGCGCCATGAAACCCAACCTTGTTCCCAATTGCATTCGATCAGAAAACTATATGATCACTTTTGAAGTTGAAGAAGAAAAGTATAATAAAAACACCCAACATGCTTTATTTTCTTATAAAATGTAATCAAACGTCTGAACTTATCTTTATTATATGGTTTAAATTTTCAGGTTTCCTTTTTTTTGGGAAAAAGTACCAGATGAAAATTGCAAATGACACGTCTGCTGAAACACATTGTCTGGTACATTTCCCAAGCTTGATCAGGTTAAGATTTTGGCATTTCATTTCATCTTTTATGTGGTGATAACTCTTGTTTTTATTAAAACTTTTCCTAATTATTGTTTATGACATTTTTTCAGACTGGAAAGAGAAGCTGGTCTTGAATATGTGGAGATACAAAACTTGCTGGAATTTTATGATGATAGTAGGTGGGATTTGGGAGTGTGATATATATTTTTTTCTTTCAAATTTTTGCTGTTGTGATTTTTACATTATACTTTGTTATATCAGAGCACAGTTTTCAGGGATGCTTCTAGAAGCCGGTCATGGTGTTGTGGACCCCAAAGGGAGGCTCTTACCAAAATTCTATGATGTACTAGGTTTTGTGTCGGTTTCATTGTCCTTTCATCTTATAAATCGGTTTCATTGTCCTTTCATCTTATAAATTGTACAAGGTGCAACATCAATTTTGCAAAAATGTTTGAGATAAAATTTGAAGATGAAAAGGGGAAAAAGGCTATGGTTTGCAGAATTCTTGGGCATACAGTACTCGAACAGTAATTTTCTTACTTTCAATCTCTTTTCTTGTTATACCAACAAAAATTGCTCTGTATTTAGATGAAATTGCTATAGATTTAAAAGAAAGTAGATTGCTATTTCTTTGAGTTTTGTTATCTAAGTGCATTTTTTGTTTTTTACTGATAGGGGTGATGGTGATGGTTCATGGTGATGATAGGAGAATTTCCACGCAAGGTAAGCTTATAGTAAATGAATCCATTAATGGTTAGAGTTTTCAGTCTATTTCTTTAGTAAATTGGAGACAAAAAAATTGGTGTTTTTGGCTTTAAATCTTATTCATCTATGTACATAATTGTAGTATGGTGGCAGGTTTTGGTTCTGGTAGCATGTACTCACTGGTTAGTCATTTTAAGGGTTCTTATCATGTTGCATTTGCAATATATTATGGTGTTTAGCCATGACTCTTGTTCATGAATCAAAGAACCTGTAAACATTGTTATGACTTTTTGTATTTTCTATTTCAAAAAAATACTTTTTACTAGGTAAACTGAATTGATCATGTAAAATTTGTTTTGACAGAGGTGATGACAATTTGAGTAGAATAACTGATAAGAATAAGTACTTCCATAATTCCAGCTCATGGGAGTTCAGAAAGGTTTAGATTGCTTTCACATATATTTAAATTATACGTCCTGTATGGCATGCTCCATGGAATAACTATAGAGTAAGCACACTTATTTCACACATACACACACACACATATATATATATATATATATATATATATATATATATATATATATATATATATATTGCAGATATAAATTAAATTTTTTAAGACTTACATGCATGTGCCTAATGTGTTTAAGTTGGCTAATGAAATGTCCAGAGACTTCAAATTGCTATATGAAAATGAGGTTCGTTTTAATTTCATACTTTCTTATTTTATTTTATTTTCATTGTGTTAAAAGATTTAGATTGGAAGGTTATTGTTAACGTAGGTAGCGACTATGTTTAGGAGATTTCATGAACTTTGCATAAACATAAAACATATTGAAGTAATAGATATGGAGCTTGAAATTTTTTTATACAAATATATAATGTTAAGTTCATATGAAATTGGAATGGAATGACTCATTCTATTCCCTTGCTTATTTCATTATTCCATTCCATTCCATGTACAGGTGAATGCTATCCAATTGAAGGAAACCGTGGAAGAAAACGCAAGCACCACAGAGAGAGTATTCCAAAATCGTCAATGTCTATGGATATCAAAGGTAGCAAGGAAAGAATTAAGAATGTTGAAGCTGGTGAGTGCATTTTCTGTAAAAAAATCTAAGTATTATATAATACAATTTTATCTAAATGCTTTGAATCACAGGCTGCAAGAGATGCTGGAGCCCTTAGAGAAGCTAAGGACAAACTGGAGAAGTGAGTTGAAGAGCTGACATGGAGATTAGACTTTGAAAAACATCTGAGGGTATATTTTTTTTTATGTTTCTTGTATCTAATTAGTTTGTAAATTTTTGTTACAACTTCTATTGATTTGTTTTATCTTTCCATGGAAGGATTATTTGTATGACATTAAATTTTATGCAATGAATTGTATTTTTTGTATATGATATTTTATTTTATATTATGAGCCATTAAATACAAATTTAATTTGAAAATTAGTAAATCTGTAAATAATATTTTTTTAAACATTTAAAATTATGATACACAAAAGTGTGTGTAATCTTCATTTATGACATGACCTTTCTTGACAGGGGCTTTAATGATACGCAATGTGAGTCGTAAATGCGCGTCGTAAGGTTACGACACGCAAATGCGTGTCATCTTCCTTTATCACATGGCCTTCCTTGATACGCAATGCATGTCGTAAACGCACGTCGTAAATGTGTGTTGTAATTGCGTGTCGTAAATAGACGACACGCAAAAACGTGTCGTCTCTCGTTATGACATGGCCTTCCTTGACACGCATTTGCATGTCGTCATTTATTACTCTTATCCCCAAAGTGGAGAGTCCGGTGGTAATTACTGATTTTAGGCCTATAAGCCTCATAGGTGCGCAATAGAAGATTATAGCTAAAATTTTATCATTGAGACTAGCTGCGGTTATTGATTCGATAATTAGTAGTGAGCAATCGACGTTTGTGCAGAGCCGCTAGATTCTTGATGGCCCGTTTATGGTGAATGAGTTCGTTGATTGGTATAAGAAGCGAAAGAAAAAATTAATGGTTTTTAAGATAGATTTTGAAAAAGCATACAATTCAGTTAGTTGGGATTGTTTTGAGCGTATGATGGGGTTTCTAGGTTTTGGAACCAAATGGATAGGGTAGATAAAGGCGTGTTTGGTGTTGGTGAAAGCTTTTGTCTTAGTTAATGGTAGTCCTTCTTTGGAGTTCCAGTTGGAAAGAGGTCTTCGTCAGGGTGACCATCCTTCTCCCTTTTTATTTATTTTGGTTATGGAGGGATTGCATCTTGTCGTGGATGATGCTATATCAGCTGATTTGATTCTGGGAGCTAAGGTGGGAGGGTTAGTATTTCTCATTTACTGTACGAAGATGATGTTCTTTTTATTGGAGATTGGTTGCGCACATATATTACATTTTTTCGTGCAACTTCTGCATTACTTTTACCATGTGTTGGGGTTAAGATTAAACCTGCAAAAATATTGTCTCCGTGGAGTTGGAGGTGACGAGGCTCATGTGAGAGAGTTGGCTTTGGGTTCCTTCTCGTTCTGTTACCTTGGGCTTCCTGTTGGATCTTTGATGTCTAGAGTGTGCTTGGAGCCCCATCTTAGATAAATTAAAAACAAAGTTGTCTAAGTGGAGAATGACTTTTAGTCTATCAGTGGGAGGTTGGTCTTACTTAGATTGTGTTGGGTTTGCTGGGTACGTAATATGTGTCGAAAGAAGAAGTTAGAGTCTTTAATAGTTAAGTTCTTTTGGGGCACTAGGGGGGATATAAAGAATATTCCACGTGTGTCTTGGAATTGTTTTTTAGCGTCCAAGGATAAAGGTGGTATGCAAATAGGCAACTTAGAAGCGCTTAATTGTTCGCTTATTCAGAAATACAGATTGAGGTTTTATCGGGAGAATAATTTTTTATAGGTTAGGTTAGTTTCCAAGATTTATGGAATTACAGATGGTATGCCTTTTTCTATAAGTACCATTCCAGGTAAAACTGTATGGGTTCGTATTGTTGCTTCTATAAATATCCTTCATGATAAAAATATCATTCCTTTATCTTCGTTGTATAAGAATTTAAGAGACAGGCGAAGCACCAAGTTTTGGAACAACATTTGGGTTGGTCTTGTGCCATTGAGGATTCAGTTTCATAGATTGTTCCTTCTGGATTCGTGTCTGAAATGTCTTATTTCTGATAGGTAGGATGAGGGTTGGAAATGGGAGTGACGTCGGCCTATTCGTGGAGGAGCTCTTCAAAGTCAACTTGGTAACCTTGTGCATTTGATTGATAGTATTTGACTCTCTAATAAAGTTGATGTGTGGAGATGTATTAGATAAATGATCCTATTGTAAGTTTAAATAAACATTGTATTTATCTTTGTACAACTGATCTCCTTTAATAAACATTGTATTTATCATTGTAAGTTAAATTTAGATAGTTTTTATGGAGCAACCCCCGGGCTTTGTGGATACTCAATTTCCTAATCATCTGTACAAACTGTCCAAAGCTCTATATGGACTAAAACAAGCCCCACGAGCTTGGTTTCACCGTCTAAGCTCTTTTCTTCTTACACGAGGTTTTACATGCAGCCGTGCTGACACTTTTCTTTTTGTGTTTAAACGAGATTCTATTATCATGTACCAATTAGTGTATGTTGACGACTTGATTCTTACCGGCAACAATGAAGTTGTCATTACTTCCTTTACCGCTCGTTTAAACAGGAAAATTGCCATCAAAGACATTGGTGAACTCAGTTACTTTCTTGAATTAGAAGTAATCTATACCGATGACGACTTATTTCTCAGTCAAGCTAAGTATGCCAAAGATGTTCTTCTTCGGCTCGATATCCTTGACTCGAAACCCATTCATACTCCCCTAGCAGCACATGAGCTATTTACCTTTGACGAAACCTTCCTTTTCTGATCCTGCTCTTTATCGGTCCTTGGTTGGAGCACTCCGGTATTTAACAATCACTAGATCAAATCTTTCCTATGTTGTCGATCAAGCTAGTCAGTTTCTACATGCACCCACCAATTCTCATTTTCAGGCAGTTAAACGTATCCTAGGATATGTCAAAGGCACAATCTCTTTTACCTTTTGCAAGCCTCAATTCAACTCTATTCTTGTTTATTTGGATGTTGATTGAGCTAGATGTATTGAAACAAGACAGTCCACTTATGGTTACTCTATTTTCCTAGGTGGAAAGTTGATCTCCTGGAGTGCCAAGAAGCAGCTAATTGTATCCCACTCCAGCTGTGAATCCGAATATAAAGCTATGACTAATACTA